GCAAAGAAGCACCAGCGTCCAGAAGGAGGGTGCAGACCTCGCGATAACCTTTCTCCGCGGCCACATGCAGAGAACTACATCTGACGTTGTTGACGACATCGACGACTGCGCCTCGTGATAATAATAGATCCACTATATCCGGATGGTTACTGTTTAAACAAAAAATGGAAGGGTACCAATGTTAATTTGACATTTAGACAGATTTAGCAACAATTTTCAACGTACCCATATGCCGCGCAATGCAAGGGTGTGTTTCCGTCCTCGTCGAATACATGCAAAGAAGCACCAGCATCCAAAAGGAGAGCGCATACCTTGCGATGACCTTTCTTCGCAGCCATTTGCAGCGCACTACATCTGCCGTTGTTGACGGCATTGATAAATGCACCTCGCGATAATAATAGATCCACTATCTCCGGCTGATCGCTGTTAAAACAAAAAAAAATGGTACCAATGTTAGTTTTGACTTTTAGGCAGATTTAGCAACGACTTCCAACATACCCGTATGCCGCGTAATGCAAAGGCGTGAATCTGTTTCGATCGACCACATTCAAAAGAGCACCACCGTCCAAAAGGAGAGTGCAAACCTCGCGATGACCTTTCTTTGCAGCCACATGCAGCGCGCTACATCTGCCGTTGTTAACGACATTGATGGATGCGCCTCGCGATAAAAGTAAAGTTATAATCTCCGGCTTATTGCTGTTTAATCAATTGAAAAAACATCGATATTAGTTCGACGATATGACATGTCTGGAAACAACTTCCAACTTACCCAAATGCTGCGCAATGCAAGGGCGTGTTTCCGACCTCGTCGACCACATGCAAAGAAGCACCAGCGTCCAGAAGGCGGGTGCAGAGTTCACGCTGACTGTTCTCCGCGGCGATATGCAGAGCACTACGTCCATAATTATCTACGGCATCGACGGAAACGCCTTGCGATAACAGAAGATCCGTTAACTCTATCTGATTGCTGTTTAAACAAAAGAAAGCGTATTGGTGTTTATTTGACGTTACGGCAGATTCAGCAACGATTTCCAACGTACCCGTATACCGCGCAATGCAAGGGTGTGTCTCCGTCCTTGTCGACCACATTCAAAGAAGCACCAGCGTCCACAAGGAGGGTGCAGATCTCGCGATGACCTGTCTCCGCGGCCACATGCAGAGCACTACATCTGTCATTATTGACGGCATTGATGGATGCGCCTCGCGATAATAATAGATCCACTATTTCCGGTTGATTGCTGTTTAAAAAAAATTAAAAGTACCGATGTTAGTTTGACGTTTAGGCAGATTTAGCAACGACTTCCAACTTACCCGTATGCTGCATAATGCAAAGGCGTGAATCCGTTTTGGTCGACCACATGCAAAGGAGCACCAGCATCTAAAAGGAGAGTGCAGAGCTCGCGCTGACCTGTCTTCGCAGCCTTATGCAGAGCACTATGTCTGACGTTGATGGCATCTATAGCTGCGCCTCGCGATGACAATGGATCCATTATCTCCTGCTAATTTCTATTTAATCAAACAAAAGAGCACCGATGTTAGTTTAACGTTACGGCGGATCCATCAATGACTTTCAACTTACCTAAATGCCGCGTAATGCAAGGATGTGTTTTCTTTCGCGTCGGCCACAAAAAAGCACCTGCATCCAGAAGGAGAGTGCAGAGCTCGCACTGACTTATCAGCACGAGCAGTTGCAGAGTACTACGTCTGTCGTTGTTGACGGCATTGACGATTGCGCCTCGCGATAATAGTAGATTATCCATTATCTTTGGCTGATTACTGTTTCATTAAGGAGTACCGATAGTTTGACGTCATGACAGATACAACAACGACTTCCTACTAATGCAACTTAACCGAGTGCAAAGGCGTGTTTTCGTCTTTATAGACCACATGCAAAGAAGCACGATCGTCTAGAAGGAAGGTTCAGGTCTTACACTGACCTGTCTTCACGGCTACATACAGGGACATTAGTCTGCCAGTGTGAGAAGTGCATGCGTCCACCCTGCCGAGATACTTCTTCAGGAATTCTCGTACAACGATTACTGCATCACTATTCACATCTAACAATAGTTTCTTCACTTCGATGTCAGTACCGTTAACTATAGCACGAGAATAAATTGACAAATTTTGTTTTTTACGTTGCAATATAGATAAATCTTTTTTTCGCAAAACGGGTAAAATATTGGCTTGAACGTAATAGGCAAAAACAAGAAATAAGTAAATAATGGCTGTCCCGTTTAAAAAAATTTGCTTGAAATATAGCTGAAGTTTTTAAAAGTAATTAAGTATTTATTTAAGATATTTTAAGGTAATGCAAATTAATATAAGAAATTTTAATGTATTTTAAAACTTTAAAATAATCTTAGGCAAATTAAATGTTTTCAAAACTGATTTTAAAATAATTTTCAGATATTCTAAAGGAGTGGAAAAGTAAATTTAGTAATTTCAATATACCTTTATAATTCTAAGGTAACATTGAACTTTGAAGTTTTTCTGTGATTCTCGACTTTAAATATAAGACTTTATCGAAATAAACTTTTGAGAAAATTTATTTTATTATTAATTTTACAGAGTTTACACTTCAAGTTATTCTCTTTATTATTTTTATTTTATATGAAATTTTTAAAGTGCTCTTAAGTTTTGACGTAAATTTAATTATTATTGTATGTTTTTCCTTATAGTAAGAGACAAGTCAAGAAAAGATAAGGTCTTCTTCATTTTCTATCTTATTTCTATTAGAATAAGGCGAGTTGCTTCATACTTGATTTTCACAGCTAATACTAAAACATTCTAACTTTGTGATCTAAATATTGTAATGTAATATAAAAAAACATATTTTTTCTCAAATATTGCATATTTGTGTTAAGATACTGCAAACAATAATAGTATTTTAACAAATAATATCGCAAAGCAATACATAGATATAACACACAAAATTTTTATTCTTATTTTTACATATTGTAATTATTATCTTTACAAATAGTAAGCAACAAATTGTCAATTAAAGTTGAATTGATTTAATTTTTTTTACTCTTATCCTATTAAGAGGATGCTAAAGCCGTCTGTTTTATCGACAAAAATACCATTTTTGTTGGATACAAAATACTTCGTATTAATCGCATAGAATAAAATTTCCTTTTCCACGATTAAAACACACATGCTAATGCATCTGGCTCTGGTGTGTTTTGTACCAAAAACAAGAAAAAATTAAGAAATTACAGATTTCGTTATCCATTTTAACCTCAACATGGCGACTAATACTATCAATTTACCAAAACGTTTACTCGTGA